TACTATAAGTATTTCAAACCACAAACTCTTCCTACATACTGGGTGTGTGAGTGAGGATGTGTTAAGGACTGTTATAGTTATGTTAAAAAGACATGGATCCCACCTTCAAGGAGTTTACGGGAAGAGGGAAAGATATGCACGCTAGCACACAAAATATCCATGCCTAATGTTTTATCATTTAGATTTCTGTCAGTTTCTTAAGCAAAAATACTTGAGAGGTCTTCCTGATCCTATATGGTAAGAACAGATAAAATTAACCTCACTTAATTTAGCTAAATTTGTGTTTACTCATATGTAAACTGTCTTAGTAAGAGGCAGGGTAAACCTCAACTCTCTGTCCAGAGCTCTCTTCACTACTATTTTGGTTTATTACTAACCACTGGCTTGCAGGAATTTAGCCTCCAACCCTGAGGAACACATATGTTATTATGACAAGGTCAACAGAAATAGGAAAGTCTACATTACATTGTTATTTGGGGAAAGGTTGAAAATAATTTCAGTAGATAGAGTTCTTGTCTTCATTTTTCCCAGTTTGTAGAGGTGAACTGCTTTGTTTGCTGCCACAAGTATCTGAAATGGATCGACAATCTACCAAAGAGAGCAGAAAGAATTAATTACACATAGAGAATCTGCAGTGCTTGAAAACACATGGTAACTCATGGTTAACTCCACTGTCAAGCTGGTTTACTTCATCACAATTCTTATGGTCTGTATTTTCAAAACTATTATCCCAGCTAGGCGTGGTGGCTCACGCCTGTAATCCCAGCACTTTGGGAGGCCAAGGCGGGCGGGTCACCTGAGGTCAGGAGTTCAAGACCAGCCTGGCCAACACGGCGAAACTGTATCTCTACTAAAAATAAAAAAATTAGGTGTGGTATCACGCACCTGTAATCCCAGCTACTCGGGAGGCTGAGGCAGGAGAATTGCTTGAACCCAGGAGGTGGAGGTTGCAGTGAGCCGAGATTGCACCATTGCACTCCAGCCTGGGCAACAAGAGTGAAACTCTGTCTCAAAACAAAAACAAAAACAAAAACCAAAAAAAAACTATTATCCCAAGGGCCTGGGTAGTTAGAAAATCATAGAATTTTAAAGCTGCAAGGAACTTATGCAAATAGTAAAATTTTTTAAAATAACATTAATTGAGGGCTAATATTATGGGCATGATCGTATTCCAAACATTTTACTTGTGTTATTTTCTTTAATCCTCAAAACTACCCTATGAAACTGATACTATTAGTAGTAGTAGTAGTATGTAATTGATGAGGAAATTGAGGCAAAGAATGTCTGAGTTTGAATCCCATCTCTGCCACCTATCACCTAGGGAACTTAGGCAAGTTCCTTAGCATTTTATTTGTTAGAGGCACATAAAACAGTATTTACTACATAGGCTGTTGTGAAGATTAAGCGAGTTAGTATACGTAAAGCACTTGGAACAATACTAGGAATGCAGTAAGCACTATATAAAGGTTGGCTATGTCTTGTTCAAAGTCCTAAGTAGTAGGTCTGGGATTAATTCCCAGTAACATGATCCCACTGCCTGTGCTTTTTTTTTTTTTTTTTTGAGACAGAGTCTCGCTCCATCGCCCAGGCTGGAATGCAGTGGCTCAATCTCAGCTCACTGCAACCTCCGCCTCCCAGGTTCAAGTGATTCTTGTGCCTCAGCCTCCCGAGTAGCTGGGACTACCAGCACACACCACCATGCCTAGCTACTTTTTGTATTTTTAGTAGAGACAGGGTTTCACTATGTAGGCCACACTGGTCTCAAACTCCTGGCCTCAAGCAATCCACGCCCCTTGGCCTCTGTGTGTGCTCTTAACCACTACGCTATGCCTCCTCTACAGACTGTCTTGTTAAGAACCCCCATTTTAAAGATAAGAAGCTGGAGATCCAGGCATTTCCCATGTTAGACCCAGACCACAACCTTTCCTCCTTCCTAGGGCAGGACCTGGCACTTCTGCCTCTATTCACTGTTATAGTCCAGGTTGGCTGCATCTGACTTGGACAAGAATTTTTTCCCTAACAGTGACAGAATTTTAGGCTACCCTATAACATCACAAATATTAACGTATACTTAAATGGCCTGTATGGTTCATTCATTGTTTTTTTGTTTGTTTGTTTTGTTTTGTTTTGAGACACAGTCTTGCTCTGTTGCCCAGGCTGGAGTGCAGTGGCGTGATCTCGGCTCACTGCAACCTCTGCCTCCCAGGCTCAAGCGATTATCCTGCCTCAGCCTCCGGAGTACAGGTGCCCACCACCACGTTCAGCTAATTTTTGTATTTTTAGTAGAGACAGGGTTTCACCATATTGGCCAGACTGGTCTCAAACTCCTGACCTCGTGATCTGCCCACCTCGGCCTCCCAAAGTGCTGGGATTACAGGCGTGAGCCACCACGCCTGGCTTTTTTTTTTTTTTTTTGAGACAGTTTCACTCTTGTCGCCCAGGCTGGAGTGCAATGGCGCAATCTTGACTCACCGTAACCTCCGCCGCCCGGGTTCAAATGATTCTCCTGACTCAGCCTCCCGAGTAGCTGGGATTATAGGCACCCGCCACCACGTCCAGCTAATTTTTGTATTTTTAGTTGAGACAGGGTTTCACTATGTTGGCCAGGCTTGTCTTCAACTCCTGACCTCAGGTGATCCACCCACCTCGGCCTCTTAAAGTGCTGGGATTATGGGCGTGAGCCACTGCACCCAGCCAGCTCATTCATTCTTACAATTTATATTTACCACTGTAGGATTTATCAGTGATCCATCGATGGTGCCTTCCATGGCCTTTCTTCTCAAGTCTCCCGCATTTTTTACATCTTTAAATAACAGAAGGGTGACCCTGCATTCAGGAAATAGGTCCAGCTGATGTGTTAACTGCATTTCACAGATAAGCAGGATTCTACTGCACACAAAATGAAAAGACCAAAAGATTTCGTTTGTTTAAAAGTTAACATTATAACTCATTTCTTAACAAATATTCAATAACTTTGATAACAACATGATAAAAAGTTTTAAACTAGAAAAATCCATCGCCAAAGCCCATTTGGCATCCTCATGAGATGTTGTCTTCCTAACCCTTCTGAGCTGTTTCTAGTTCCATTGCCATTCCCAGGGAAACGCCAAAGGGCCCAGCTGGTTGCTGTTTGCTCATATAAGGCAGGCTCAGATGCATGGTTGAAGGGCTGCTTCCCCAGCAGACAAGCAGGAGCAGAATGTCAGGAATTTTTTAAACCAGAGGTTATTTATGGTATTAAAGAAGTCTTACTCTATCTTAGTCTTTTTAAATTCCTGATCTCATCATTTTATTTATATTTTAGGAAGGCCTAGACTAAATATTAAGGAAGAAAATAATTTTAAAGAATAAAGTAGGCCAGGCATGGTGGCTCACGCCTGTAATCCCAGCACTCTGGGAGGCCAAGAAGAGCGGATCACCTGAGGTCGGGAATTTGAGACCAGTCTGACCAACATGGAGAAACCCCATCTCTACTAAAAATACCAAAAAAATTAGCCAGGCATGGTGGCACATGCCTGTAGTAATCACAGCTACTCAGGAGGCTGAGGCAGGAGAATCACTTGAACCTGGGAGGCGGAAGTTGCAGTGAGCCAAGATTGCACCATTGCACTCCAGCCTGGGCAACAAGAGTGAAACTCAGTCAAAAAAAAAAAAAAAAGAATAAAGTATCACACTTGACCCAAAGATATTAATTCCACACATGGAAATTAAGCAGAGAGGGTATTAAATAATCAATATTGCTCCTTTCTTGGACATAAGCTTAACAAGAAAAGGATAGGTTATTATATATAAAGACATAAAAGACAATTTGAATTAACTAGAAAGACATGACCATATCTTTGAATGGAAAAACTATGTATTGCAAAAATTTCTTTAAAACAAGTTCTATCAAATTCTTAATAAGATATTTTGGTGGGGCAATTTGAGACTCATTTTATCCTTTTACCTGGCAGATTATATTTCTAGAACTCTTACTGATGGAAGTCATTAGGAATCCAAGAATTATATAAGATGTTCCTCTCATTATTTTAACAGTAAAAAGTTGAAAATAACCTATCTAGCTAATGATGGGATTGGTTGTGATTTAACAACCATTAAAACATGTGGTCTTGACGTTGTGTAAAAATGGCAATAAATAACATTAAGTAAAAACATCTGAATGGAAAACAAAACACAAACTGGCCAAAATGTGAGTTTTTTAAAAAGCTTTTAAACAAATATTAAAAAGAAAACACACCAGAAAGCTAACGTTATCTCTTACTTAGAATCAACTTGACTTTTTCTGCTACAAACAGGAAAAAAAATATTTGTGAACAATATCCTGGCCACAGTTCAATCATTACTCATGCCAAGAGGAAAAAAATGGATACACAAAGATATAATCAGTAGGATCCCAATATATAAAAAGATACACATATTTTTTAAAAACACATGAAGGAAACACTAAAATATGACCATCTTGGGTAGTGAGGTTATGAGGTGATTTTTATTGTCCTTTATACAAAAGAAAGTATTTTGTTATGTATGTTCTGAATTTTCTACAGTGAGCATACAACACATGAGTAGACATAATAAGAAAGGGAAAAAAAAATATGGTTTTTAACACTGGGGGTGGGGGAAAGAATCCTTAGAAAAACCTCAAAATAGTTTGTTCTTGTTTAGCATAATTCACTCAGTCCAGAAACTTGGAATCATCGTTGAGTACCCAACCTGTCACTCAAATCCTATATCTAATCCGTAAAGTCCTGAATTTTCACCTGCTAAATATACTTTTGATTCGTCCACTTCTCTCCCATAAGCTAGGTCACACCGCTCATCTACAGCAGTAGCCTCCTGAGTGGTTTCTCACAATTCCTGCCCTCCTATAATCCAGTCTTCACCCGCAGTTCTAGTGATCCTTTCAAAATGACCATCAGATCTTGCCATTCTGCTGCTCTTATGATAAACCCCCAACTTTGTGTCACGGTGTTCCATACTCTACGATCTGGTCCCTGCCTCCCTCTTCTGCTACCGCCGCAACGGCCTTCTCTAAGTTCAAGTCACCAAGCTTTCTCCCCGATTCTGCCCTATCGGACAGGTAGTTCCCTCTCTCCTTTCTTCTCCGCCTGACGCACTCCTCCCTCCTTTCAACTCCATTTGGAATCATTTACTACAGCGCCCACAACTCCGGGACTTCGGCTCTTTTTAGTCTTGAGGACTAGCTCCTTTTTGGGCCCAATCACAACTTTAAAGAATCGCGCGCCTATCCGTTGCATGTCTCCTCACTAAACTATATTTCTTGAGGGGACAGACTGACTATCATTCTCGTGCTGCATTCCCAGGGGCTGGCCTCGTTGGCGCTTGATAAATACCAGCTTAAGAACCCGCAGCCATAGTCCCAAGGACATTACTAAATCTGCCCGAACCCGCCCCTCCCGAGCCGCCCCGTAAGTGGGCAAAGAAAACTCACCATTCGGCCCCCAGCGCGTCTCGGAAGATCTCCCGCTCGGAAACAAAGCTCACAACTTCCGGAAGCGATGGCCAATCCCCGTCTTCTTCGAGACAGTTTCCGGATAGGCCGGCTCGAGGTGGCCATGTTTTTCCGGGTCCCGGTAGGAGGAGTGCTTCCGCCCATCGTGCCGCCCATTCTTCCGCCCTCCCAGCCTGGAGACGCGAAGGAGAATAGGGGCTGTATATCACTTCCGGCGAAGGCAATGGAAGCATATATGGGCTGGCACCGGAAGTTGAGGTCCGGTTTTGAGTCTCGGCTTTGTCTTAATCTGTGTTGGGCGTTGTACCGGGCTTCCTCAGTTTCTTCCTGTACAAGGAAAAGTACTGACCAAAATGAGTTCTACATACATTTCCGCTGCTCGAGATTTCTTTTTTGTTGTTGTTGTTTGTTTTTTGAGACAGAGTCTCGCTTTGTTACTCAGGCTAGAGTGCAGTGGCGCAATCTCGGCTCACTGCTACCTCCGCCTCCGGGTTCAAATCATTCTCCTGCCTCAGCCTCCCAAGCAGCTGGGACTACAGGCACGTACCACCACACCCGGCTAATTTTTTGTATTTTCAGTAGAGACGGGGTTTCACCGTGTTAGTCAGGATGGTCTCGATCCCCTGATCTTGTGATCAGCCCGCGTTGGCCTCCCAAAGTTCTGGGATTACAGGCATGAACCGCCGCGCCCTGCTGAGATTTCTTCGTTCTTTTTCTGGGCCTTGTCTCCTGTGACACTTTGGACTTTGGACTTTTGAGTTTAATGCTGGAACAAGTTAAAACTTTGGGGGATGATTGGGACGTCATGATTGTTTTGCAATGTGAGAAGGACATGAGATTTGGGGGTCCAGGGATGGATTGATACAGTTTGAATGTATGTCCCTGCCAAATCTCATGTTGAATTGTGATCCCCAGTGTTGGAGGTGGGACCTGATGGGAGGTGTTTGGGTCATGTAGGTGGATCTCTTATGGCTTGGTGTCTTTGCAATAGTGAGTGAGTTCTAGGGAGATCTGGTTCTTTAGAAGTCTCTTGCTCCAGTTCTCACCGTGTGATGTGCCTGCTAGCCCTTCTCCTTCTGCCAAAAGTAAAAGCTCCCTGGGGCCTCCTTAGAAGCCAGATACTGGTACTATGCTTCCTGTACAGCCTGCAGAACCATGAGCCAATTTAACCTGGTTTCTATATAAATTACTCAGTCTCAGATATTTCTTTGTAGCAATGCAAGAACAGCCTAATTGTGGGGGGCGGGGCGGGGGAAAAAGATGGGGAGGCATGACACACTGGGCTAAAACATGAAGGACATTCGGCCGGACGTGGTGGCTCACACCTGTAATCTCAATACTTTGGGAGGCCGAGGTGGGCAGATCACCTCAGGTCGGGAGTTTGAGACCAGCTTGACTAACATGGAGAAACCCCGACTCTACTAAAAAATAAAAAAATTAGCCAGGCATGGTGGTGCGTACCTGTAATGCCAGCAACTCGAGAGACTGAGGCAGGAGAATCGCTTGAACCTTTGAGGTAGAGGTTGCCGTGAGCCGAGATTGTGCCATTGCACTCCAGCCTGGACAACAAGAGTGAAACTCCCTCTAAAATATGTATATATATATATATTGTGTGTGTGTGTGTATATATGTATGTATATATATGAAGGACATTCTATTTCTAGGACAGACTGGAACAGGGCCCTGGCTGTTCTGGTTAGTCTCTCTTTATCACAGGATGCTACATTCCCAGCACATTCTACAGTTATCCTAGAGAACCACAAGTGAGAAAGGAGAAAGAACTAAGTTTGTCCAAGGCCACCTGGAGAACTATCCTGCAGTCTATGCCCTTAACCCAGATTATCCCCCTTAGCACAGCTAGTCCATTCCATATGCCCACCAACCTCCTAGTACCTGGAGGCGGAGGTTTGTCTTCTCAGATTGACTTAACACCTTGACAGACACAATGTCAGTGCAACATTGTTGAGCCATAGCCAGAATACATTTTACTAGGCCCAGGAGGACTACTCCACAAACAGGCTGATCGGGTCTGCCTGGAGCAGCAACCTAGTCCAGGATCCAGCGATCCAGGTAAGAAGTTGCTAAAGAGGTCAAAAAAGGGTCCTTAAGGGAGCCCCAATATCTGCAGCAAGTGGGCTTCCTCCCAGATCTCCCCTACTTTTCTGCAGTACATTAGGTGTTCGCTAGGTACTGTAGCAGCTACTGGCAATCGAACACACTTCTCCCAGTTTGGTAAATGGAAATCTAAAGTAATTCCTTTGTTTAATACAATCCTCTTGGCCAGGTGTGCTGGCTTATGCTTGTAATCCCAGTGCTTTGGGAAGCTGAAATAGGGGGTTTGCTTGAGGCCAAGAGTTCAAGACCAGCCTGGGCAAAATAGTGAGGCCCCCATCTCTCCAAAATATTAAGAAAAATAGCCAAGTGTGGTGGTGTGCACCTGCAGTCAGATCTACTAAGGAGGCTCAGGTGGGAGGATCACTTGAGCCTAGGAGTTTGAGGTTACAGCGAGCTATGATCATGCCACTGCACTCCAGTCTGGGCAACAGCATAAAACCCCGTCTCAAAAAAAAAAAAAAAAAAAATCTCAAGGGTGTTGAGGGATGTCTGCTGGGCTGCCAAGGAAGTGGCAATAGAAGAAGCAATATCTGCCATGCTCAGGGACAGATTTCTTACCAATTTTTCCTGAGCACCGACTCCTATGTGTGCTACCAAAAATCTCAAAAAGAACACAAACCCAGAGCTGCTTACACCTCCTAGCAGGAGTCTAGTAAGCCTGGTGCATGACTTCAGGCTGCTGGCCCACTTGTATGACTTATTTCAAGGAGTAATATCTAGGGACACCCCAGAATGCCCAGTGTGCAGTATCCCGCCGTTCATCAGCTTTTCAAGCATAACATTGCCCATACCGTATTTGGGTCACCCTGGACTGCCCACAGAGAAAAATGTAGCCCTCAGGTGCACATAGCATCCCTTCTCCCATTTTATTGTTCAGTAGCCCATTCATAGGTATGAAGACATTGGCATTTGCCAGCCAGGTCTCAAATTAGTTATATGAACTTGGTTTCCCCCATTCAATATTGTTCATGAAGCCCCTACACAGGAAGCTAACAGTAGTCCAATTATTGTTTCCACTGTCAACACTGGGATGCTTCTCATCCAAGTAAAGGAATATAATGGGTCAAAAGTACGGGCCCACCAAGCTTTTATTACTTGTCATGATGTTTTGCCACCTTATGCCAATTAAGTCTACCCTTAGGCCAATTAAGTCTCCCTCTCATGTGGCAGGTGCCAGATCCTCACTCAGTAAGCCAGGGCTCAGGTTCTGTTGATATTCACTGTGCCACTATAATACTGGTAGAGTTTACTACTGGCAGGACGAGAAGGTTGCTGTAGCCTGTGACATGATGGGGTCTGGGATGACAGATCCAGCACTTCCCTTTGGTGGCCACAGCTTGGGAGAGCCTAACGAAGGCATTATGCTTCTAGGCCTCTGCTGTCACGTCCTTGTGGAAAAAGCAGACTGACAGGTTAGTGCCCCGCCCCTTACACTTCCTGCATCCTCGGGTATTCCCTACCTATGTGATAGAGGTTGGGCTGAGTGTAGTGTCCCAGTCTGACTGCTGCAGTCCCGAAGACTACCCATTCCCCTTGTTGCATGACCCAGGCCTTTTGGCTTCAGTTGTCCAGTCCGGGAAGGGAGGTTTGTCCTGTACAAACTTGACATGTCTGATAAGTTCACCCACCTGTATGGAAGGATCAGGTGTTCCTGGTGCCATTAACCCTAGCACTCTGGTACTCCTTGGTCCTGTCCTGTATCCCTGTGGATTTCATAGAAGAGAGGCACCTGGGGGAACTATCACCTCTAGATTAGAGTCAGGGGGCCCTGTCTGAGGTGCTCTGGCAGCTTGAACCACTGACCACCTACAGGATGTGCACTCTAAATGGAGAAAGAAGAAAGAATGGTTGGGAACACTGAGATTGGAATTTCACAGGTGCAGCCTCATCAGGCAGTCACCTGGTCCACCTCTATCCACACCAAGCTCAGTGTTTCTCAAGATGTGTGCAGTGCTGTGTTTCCCTTGTATTGGAGTACAGTGCTTAGTGTCCATGCTGCCCTAGTCAAATCGAGGTGTCACCCCAATAGCAGACTGTCCTGATGTCCTTTATTCAGTTGCTTTGTGAGTTGGCTGGTCCATCATTCAATGGCTCCATTGGCCTGTGGATGACAGAGTGCATGGAAAACCCATTGTATTGCATGAGTGTATGCCCACTGTCATGTTACTTGGGCAGTGAGGATTTTCCTTGGTCAGAGTGAAGTCCCATGGGGTATCCAAAAACATAAGTCCTCTCAAGAGCAGCTATGGTAGTCAGAGCATCCACATGAGTCGCATATAGAGTGCCTTCCAACAGCAAGCTGTTGCCATAGCCCTTGTCCCCACACATGGAATCTTTTAATAGTCCAATCACTGCTGCCATTCCCCTGACCAGATGGCCAGGCTGTTGGCAATGGCCCATGAGTCAGTAAAAATGTGGCAAGATATGGTGGTAGGTGAGAGGGGATGTGCCCCACTGTTATGGCTGAAATCCTTAGCTGTTAGGGGTCATAGCCCCTCTGGTGGCAGTGATGTTCTGTGCCACAAGTAACCAAAATGTCAATGCCTATAAAGCACTCAGTGGTGGGAACCATGGTCACTGACACTTGAAATGGCCCAGAGGGCTCCACCTACAAGCAGAGAAGCACCACAAGCAGATAAACACTATGTGTCACTGAGTCCATCCCCAAACTTCCTGCTTAATTTTTCCCCTAAAGGAACCTGGAAATACTGTCATGTGGCCTTCAGTATCCAAGAACTCCAAAGAAGTCGGAATTTCCATCTTTCCCCATTTTATCTTTTTTTTTTTCTTGAGACAGGGTTTCTCACTGTTGCCCAGGTTGGAGGGCAGCCTCAACCTCCCAGGTTCAGACAATCCTCCAGCCTCAGCCTCCCACATAGCTGGGACTATGGGAAGCACACCACCACGC